GCATAATATTGTAAATAACTGTAGAAATATATGTTAAAACACATAAAGGAAGTATAATAACATTAAAAGAACACATCAAAAGCATAAATGTGAAAACACAGACTCATAACTACTAAAATATCTTTTCAATAAGCGGATAGTAATGCATGAACAACTTGGCATTTTGCAGTAATGAGTTATGCAGCCAGTATAGAATTTTTCCTTCCAATGTAAAAGTAAATAAGATGAGCAACTCAGCTAAAAATAGGCGATCGTCTCTCTTCATTTACACAGAGAGCCTTTGAGAAGTATATGCACATATATTGCCATAGAAGAACTTCATCTTGATTTGTATTGTACTATCATTTCATACAGCTTTTAGAACCCAACTCCACCACTACCTCCAACTACACACTGTTCCATTTCTATTTCATGCACTCTACCTCAACTCTGTAATTCGAAATATACCAATCAAACAATACCAAACCCAGCACCAATACCCAAAACCCAATCCAATACCAATACCCAATCCAATACCAATACCCAAAACCCAATCCAAAACCAATACCCAATCCAATACCAATACCCAATCCAATATCAATACCCAAAACCCAATCCAAAACCAATACCCAATCCAATATCAATACCCAAAACCCAATCCAAAACCAATACCCAATCCAATACCAATACCCAATCCAATATCAATACCCAAAACCCAATCCAAAACCAATACCCAATCCAATACCAATACCCAAAACCCAATCTAATACCCAATTCGATAGAGCTGTCCCAGTGAGGACGACCAACATGCTTGGAAACCCCGCCCGCCCACTCCAATATCAGAGGGAGACAGAGAATACAGAGATCTTCCCCAACGCAGCGCAGAAGCTTCCACCATCCCTGGGCGGACATTATCGCCGTGCATATTGGGGAAATGAGGAAATGTTGCAGATTTTCCACATGCGATGACGTTTTAGGGTTTTTTTCGCCAACTTGTAGAATAATCCCTTACGACCAAGACCCAAAACTAACCTGACCTTTACTATTTAAAAGAATTACCTAAATCACACATGCCGAACAACAAAATAACACAAAAACATAAACAAACAAAAAAAAGAAAAACCAAAACAAAAACAAAATGGAAGTTCCTCAACTGCCTCTTTAAAAACCCCCCGAAAAAATCTCCCTCTCTCTCCCTATGGTCTTCCTAATTCCTCCAACTCCCAACTTCTCTTCTTCCCCCGGCAAAGCTTAAGACTCTCACCTCCATGTACTGTCAGCCTCTATTCCAACATTCACCAGCAACCGTCCCTGGAAGAAAAAATATCGGGAAAAAGAGGCAAAGGCGACCGGGACTTTGTTTACGTCTCCATTGATCTCCTCGACTGGAGTTCCAATACTATTTTCGCGCGACACGGAAATGGGCGCTTTTCTCTTCTCTTTTTCTTTTCTATATTTCAAGGAAAAGGCAAAATAGCTTATCCGGGATAATCTTGGTTTAATCTTTGTGTAGTTTTTTTTAAGTGTTGGGTTTTCATATTGTATGGGGATTTAATTACCTTGCTTTTTTATAAAAACTTTAAATGTTTTTGTTTTTGTTATGGTTCAATCAGCTGGTTGAGTTGCCAACGATCTTTTTTCAATATAAAGCTTTTATTATCGTTATATAGACAATAAAACCAAAACCATGACACATCTAACAGTTATTCTCAAATGTAGTTAAGCTCCACAATTCATCTGTTAATAGCTGGTTAATATTCAATTCGGGAAATAAAGCCTTCAGCCTTATAACACGCCATAGCAAATGCGTAGCGAGCGGGATACGCGCCTCATTCATGGAGATGCCTTAATTTCTAATCGCGCCTCATATCCTTATTTAAGAAAAAAAAGATTGATATCCATATTAAGTCTTTTCCATGGTTGTTGTTGTGTAAAGTTGAAATATAAACTCTATCGCACCTTTTGTAGGAGATAGTGCGAATGCATTTAATTTACTTAGGTCATAATTTATGGTTATTAATATTACTAAACATGAATGGAAAAACACTCGTTCCGTGTAGATACTATGGTAGAAAAAAAAATACAAAAACTCTTTATAAAGATAATTTAGCATCTTTCCTCCATCGACATCATTCCCTCTCGCGTCAAAATTCAATTCATTGCCTCGATATCTGGATCAAATGCAGCATAAACCCTAATGTATAACAATATTCAATGGGCTTTATCATTTTATTATTCTATCTTATAATCAGTTACCTATTAACTATCTATTTATCCATTTAATTTTCTATTTATCCATTTATCTATTTAGAGATATTTATCTATTTGTCTCTTAACATTTATCTACAACCGTTTATCTATTTATCCATTTATTCATCAATTTATCTATTTATTCATCAATTCATCTATCTATTTACAAATCTTTATCTATCTATCTGTCAATCATATGTCTGTCAGCGTCGAACGAAAAACCGCTACTGTCACAAACAGCTGATCGCGTAGCGCTTTTCCCACGGATGCTGTTTAGCGGAAATTCGCTAACATCGCACTCGAAACGCTTTTCCTTTAAAAAAAAAAAAGACGAAGCTCTACATAGTTTTCATTATATTTGTAGCTCATCGTGTTATTAAATGTAATGTAGATGTAGAGAGGACTCGGTGGTGAGCTGTGAAAGACGGAAAATCAAAGGAAGAAATACTAATGAGAGATAAAGAACGTAAATGAATATATTTTCGTAATTTTTCAAGTTGCAATTTCTACTGAAACTTTCTTGTTTATTTTTCGTAATGCTGGAGCGAAGAGCCACTTGAATGACTGTAGTTTAATGTTTTGATAATAATATATATGTATGTATATGCATACATACATACATACATACACAGACAGACAGATAGATAGAGATATAGATGCATATGCATCCAAAATACAGAAAGGGTTTTCCTAATATTCTTTGAATAATCACGAAAAACACTTATTAATAAAAACACTCCCATAAAAAACACAGAAAAAAAGAAAAAAACAACAAAAAAGAAAAACACATTACAAAAAGTCTTCTCTTAAAACACTTATTAATAAAACAAATAAAACTTATTAATAAAAACACTCCCATAAAAAAACACAGAAAAAAAAACAACAAAAGAAAAACACCTTACAAAAAGTCTCTCTCGCCCCCTGAGCTCGGAGGCGCAGTGGCGGCGATGTGGTTCCCCGAGAGCGTGGCCTCCGTCCTGCAGGGGGTCGTGGAGGCCTTCGCCAGCCCCGAGGAGGACCTCTTGCTCGCAGGGCCTCGCGCGGGGCTCTCGGAGGGCGAGGGGGAGGAGGAGGACGAGGACGAGGTGGGTCTGGGGGGGGGGGGGGAGGAGGGCTAGTGGTTGGAGGACGTTGGTTTTGTTTTCGTTGTTGTTGTTGTGGTTAGGTTATTATTGGTGTTATTTTATTTTGTTATTATTGTTATTATTACTATCAATATCATTATTTTTATTATTGTCATAATTATTATTGCTATTATTTATTATTATTATTATTATTATTATTATTATTATTTTATTATTATCATCATTATCATTATCATCATCATCATCATCATTATCATCATCATCATTATTATCATCATCATTATCATCATTATTATCATCATCATCATCATCATTATTATCATCATTATTATCATCATCATCATCATCATCATTATTATCATCATCATCATCATCATCATTATTATCATCATCATTATTATCATCATCATTATCATCATCATCATTATCATCATCATTATCATCATCATCATTATCATCATCATTATCATCATCATCATTATCATCATCATTATTATTATTATTATTATTATTATTATTATTATTATTATTACTATTATTATTACTATTATTATTATTATTATTATTATTATTATTATTATTATTATCATTGTTGTTGTTAATATTTTAGTATTACTGATGTTATCATAGTTTATGTTATGGAGCTTAATATTGTAAAAATGGTAATGATTGTTATTATTGTTGCCATTGCTAATATCATTACTTCTGCAAATGATATTACAATTATTATGATTATCATTATTGTTATTAGTGGGATTTCTATCATGGCAGTCTAGCTGTTAGTAATAGTTGTAGCAGTGGGACTATTACTGTTATTATTGTTTGTCTGATAACTACCACCATTATTGTTACTAATCATTAACAGTTATTATTATGATGATACTAATGAAGAGGATGATTTGTGTTGATGTAAATACAGTTAATGTTATCTTTGTTATTATTATTATTATTATTGTTATATATTATTATCATTATTATTATTATTATATTTATATATATATATATGTATATATATATATATATATATATATATATATATATATATATATATATATATATATATATATATATATTATCATTATTATTATCATCATCATTATCATCATCATTTTATTATTATAATTATTATTATTATTATATTATTATTATTATTATTATTATTATTATTATTATTATCATTATTATTATTATTATTATATTTGTTATTATTGTTATTGTTTTTATCACTATTACTGTTTTCCTCAATACTTATATGGTTATTATTATTCCTATTGTGTATGTTATTTTGGTTAATATTATTAGGCTAATCTTTATTTTTATCTTTATATATTTTCCTTATTATTACTGTTATTGTTATGTGATGCAAGGAGATGATTTTCTTTTTTGTTTTTCTTTTGTAAAACATATTTATTTTTAGTTACTGTCTTGTATGTATCGTATTTTTAATTCTTAGTATAATTTTTCAATTATTATATTGATGAGTATAATGTTATGAAATTTTTATCTGATCTCACCAAAAATTTAGTGAGAATCAGAACTGGATAGTCTATTAATTTCTTATAAAGAGTGAAATTTATTTATTTATTCACTTATATATATATATATATATATATATATATATATATATATATATATATATATATATATATATATATATATATATATATATATATATATATATATATA